GCAAAGCACTTTATTTATTTATTTATTAATTCGCGAACTATGCATAAACGGGACCTTTTTTGAATTCTTGAAATGAAGAATTCATGAATTCTATCGCATAATCGTAGTATAAATTACACATGAAATCTATTACTTTAATCGACAAAACTGATGGAAACGAGTTAAAGAAACGCATTACAGCTCTGTTCCAGGCATTTGCAGGGACTTATAGCCCAGTTATGCATACTTAGCACGATCCAGAAAATAAAGGTCGCGCCATTCGCGGACCGCTAACCCTCTCTTCGTCGATTTGACAGCATCCACCTAATCGCAGCCGTCATAAAATACTTTTGTTTACATTCCCTGTTGCCAACTTCATGCTTTTCGCACCAAATTTAGTGGGTATTCAAAACGCGAAAATTTGAAAATTTGAGTTTGGTGCTTGGCGCGTTTTTGCTGCTTTTGTTTTTAGTTTGAAGACACCAAATTAGAAAATCTTAAAAAAATGGAAGCAAAATTCATAGCAATCGTAAGTGTGGTAAGCAACTTTACAAAAATTTTAACAAAATCATGGCACAGTGACAATCATAAGCCATAACGAAATATGTGCAGCACCTTCAATCATGCCAGAAGAAATCGACCGTTGTGCAAGAACCATTGATTTTTATTAATTTGAATCGGCATCCTTACAATAAAATTATGTATGCATATAAAGTCTATAAATACACCAATAAAAATTTGGTGCTTTTTCAATGGCAATATTTGGCAACACTGCCTTTTGTTCGATGCTTCCTCTTTTTCTTGTCGAGTTCGTCTTGCTCTCTCATTCTGGTATTTATTGACGTCACGGCCAGCTGCTCTCAGCTCGATTGGCGCAATCTTGTATTCTATCATTCTTGCATACTTAGCTTTACACGAAAGTTGTCACATTAGAATCAGTTAAACGGGCTTTGCGTGTGAATTCTGTTGGGTTTTGATGTTTACGTACCCAACAGAATTCTACATGTGAAGTGCTATGCGTTGGGTAACCGTTTACACGCATATCGTCGTTTAAAGTACAAAACCGCATATCAGCAAAAAAGCAAAACCGCGTATCAAGATAATGCAAAACCGCGTATGTGGATTATGTAAATTATCTTCTAGAGAGTAAAAACACTCATATTTCAAAATGGTTCTCTTTTTTATAAAGCAATCGCATACCTGGCCAGTACGAATGGATAAGGATTGAGCCAAGAGCTTGTGTGAGCAATGCAATTTTTGGCGGCTAATGCCAGTTACGCGGTTTTGCAGAATGACGATACGCGGTTTTGTACTTTAAACGAGGATATATGTATGTATCATGAACCAAAAATACAAGATCACGCCTTCTTCTTAGTAGCCCGTTATAATCGCATTTAGGAAAAAAGTTAGCGACTTTGACATTAGCCGTTTGTTTACATTTGTTCGTTGTATACAATTTGGTGGTGGCTTTTTACTGCAATTTTCTTAATTTTCGCTTGTGACAACGTGTGCACACATAAGGTAAAAAATAATTTAACACAACGACATGATTTATAGAAGAATTTGCATAATAAAAATGATTATTCATGCGTCCAACAATTACGCGTTTTTTTTGTTCTCTTCGTTGTTTACTTCTTACAACAAAGATGGCGTCGAGATTTCAACACATGAACCAAAAATACAAGATCACCTAATCAAAGAAGCAAGAAAAAAGTATATTTCTGAGTGTTTTTGACATCTGCCTAAGAATGAAAACAAACAAAGAAAACGAAAAAGGCGCGGTGATTGAGTGCGATTAAATTGGTATTTATTATAAAATATACAAAGTGAAACTTGATGACAATTAGCAAAAAAAGTTCATAAAATATGGTTTTCATGATTGAAAGTGTTTTACAATCGCATATCATTACCACGGGTCGATTTTTCAATGCCAACGTTCTGGCCACAAACGTGCACCCACTTTTCACGCAAATTTACGCCTTTTGGCAAACTAAACATACGCACAAACTTGTTCCGATCACACAGCACTTTATTTTATATCATAAATATGTAATAAACCAAAATTTATAATTAAAATCGCTGCAGAAAACACATTCAATCGCTAAAAAATCACTACGAAGAGGTAGAAGACGATGTAAACAAACCCGAAAAACGTCAAAAACGCTACGAAAACTTTTTTCTGAAAATCGATTACAAATACAACGATGGCTGATTAGGTGATCTGTAGTCGTTGGTTCATGATTTCAACAGCTAGAAAATAACTTTTTTCTTTCTTTCGGGAAGGCGTGATCTTGTGTCTTTCGTTCATGTGTATGTATGAGACCGCGACAGAATGCAAACAGTGTTGCCGTATGAGCCGTTTTCCGGCTAGATTTAGCTGGTTGCGATGGCAAACAGCCGGAGAAAATTCGATTTAGCCAGTTTGTAAAAATAGTTAGCCTTTTTTAACCGATTTCCCTATTTGTCGTGTTTTGTTAAAATTTAAATATACATATGTACATATAAGTTTCCATTTTTACAAAATTTTGCGACCTAAAATCTATTAGAAATTGCTAGCCTTATCTCGGATAAAATTTTCATGACGAACTGGGTGAAGTATATAAAATTGAATGAATTTTTTTATTTAAAATTTTAGTATAGTAAAGTGCAAATTTAAGGTAGCTGGCACTAACCGTTGATTATTGAAAATTTTTTGTTGACGGTGTTCCGCATTTTCCTCCATTTAAAAAATTTTAGAACATACTTTGTATGGAAAAAATTTGTCACACCGTTACAAAAAAAAAAAAAATACAAAAATCAACGGCAAGTCCTAGCTACTTTAAGCTGAGTAATAAGCTATATTTTCATAAAAAGTAATAAACATTAAATAAACTAAATAAAAATGGCCAACACTTGCTAAAATCTCCAATCTTCCAAAGAAAGATGTAGCGGGGACTTTCTTTATACAATATTTGTTATTAATGGCTAAAATATAATTGCGAGTTTTATTCGCAACACTTTAAAAATAACGAAAGAGAATAAAAGACACCGAATATCGATGTATCGATGTGAAGCAAAACTATTGGAAGAAAATATCTTTGAATAATTGTATCATGGTGCGAGCATACTTTATTGTTGCTTATTATTGCTCTGAGACAGGCACGGGAGAGATGAATCATCTAATACAAGGTTTGATAAACTGACACTTGTCTCTCTCGCCCCGCTCACTTAGCAGTGGCACCGTGTTGCCTCTTCGCAAATTTACTTGGAAAAAGTGTAGCTTTGCTGTGAAATAGAAGTATAAGCTTTTGTACAATTTGTTTATTTGTATTTGCATATGAAGCACATTTAAGCGAAGTAAACATAAATTGTTTTTAAACTGGATGTTTACATAAATCTCATAGTAGTTTTATTTTAATTTTTAGTCTTTTTGCAGTTTTTATACAGCTAAATAGCACAGAAATTACGTAATTCACGTAGATATATTAATCGTTCAATATTTCGTTTAAAATGCCAGATTTCCTGCAAATACATTATAATTTACAAAAGGAATTACACTACTAATTGCCTACTTTGCGTACTTATTTACTACCATTTTTGCAACAAGGGATTGCTTTCTTCTCGATTCTCTGTTCTTCGTAAATGCAACCTTTTGTAAGGAGTGTCAAACCGCGGCTGTCAATAATTGTCTAACCTTGTATTATTGAATCAGTGTAGCCGCGAATCATTTAGTGGTAGCCAAATTCCTTTAAAAAAAGGGCTAAAAAAGAGCTAAAAAAGTAGTTGTGGCTAAAAATGGTAGCAAAATTTTTTTACTTAAATATACATACACGCAAACATTTTCAATAAGTAATGGTATAGTAAAACAATGAACTCTGGAAAAAAAGCTAATATTTTATCCAACCAAAAAAGAAGGGGAAATATACGAAACCAGCTTGCAGGCTCCATCAAGTGATTGTACCATCAGGCTCGAAGCATATAACTTACCAGCATGCTGGTACAATATGTATTTCTTTACAAATGAGGTCGAGGAAAGATCGAAATGATTAGAGCCGAAATTTCAAAATTTTTCTACCATTTTGTTAAACATTGTTTTTTTTTTTTGAAGATACGAAGCAATTTAATAAACGGCATAAGGACTCGTAAATAATTACAGATGCAGACAAAGGCAACAAGACAGTAATGATGAGCAAAACGGAATATAATGATAAAATTAAAAGCCTCCTTAGCGATAAAGACACCTACAAAACTATGCAAATGGACCCAACACAAAAATTATTAAGGAAAAATAACAACATAATTAATGACATTTACAAACAAAAAAATATTGACATCAAACAGAAATACCAATTGACAAGCACTGCAGCTACAGCTCCCAGACTATATGGCCTTCCAAAGATACACAAAGAAAATACTCCTCTTATACCAATTTCCTCTTCAACAAATGTACCTTGCTACAAGCTTTCTAAATTCATCGGACAAACTCTAAAACATGTAATTTCTAAAGAATATAACATTAAAAATTCATTTGAACTCAAAGAAAGGCTAAAATACATAAAAATCTAAGAAAATGAAATCCTTATATCTTTTGATGTAGTGTCCCTATTTACCAATATTCCAATACAATTGGCAATGAATACAATTATGAAGCAATGGCCGTCCTTGCAAAATCATACAAGCCTTTCAAGAAAACAAGTTTTACGTGCCTTGGAATTTTGCTTACGGGACAACAACTATTTTGTTTATGATGGTACCTATTACCAACAGGTACATGGAATGCCAATGGGAAACCCTATATCACCGACTGTAGCAGATATTGTTTTGGACAAAATACTAGACGACAGCATTGCTGAATTGTGAACCAAGGACATATATATCAAATACATCAACAAGTATGTAGATGATATATTTACTATTGTAAATAAAAATGACGTGGAAGAAATAGTTAAAACTTTAAATGAACAACATAGAAAAATCCAGTTCACGAATGAAGTTGAAGAGAAACAAAAATTAGCCTTCCTAAACATGGAAATATACAGTATAAACAAAAACTTGTTAACACACTGGTATACTAAAGACATAGCTTCCTCTAGAATGATTAATTATCACTCGAATCACCCCTGGACGCAAAAGAGGAACACTGCTATCAATCTTATAAATAAAATCCACGCGTTGAGTGACCAGGAGTTCAGAAATGCAAACAACAAAAAGATAAAGGACATATTATACAAAAACGGGTACCCTAATAATATCATAAATAAACTTATAGCAACAGCAATAAACAAACGAAAGTCAGCAGGCATGAGAATTGAAGCTGTAAATAAACATGAACACAAAAAATTCGCAGGAGTCACATATATACATGGATTAACGGATAATAAAACATTACTCAAAAACATTCGCAACGAAAATATAACCTTTGCCCACAAACCAAACCACACACTAAGCACAGTTTTCAGCAAAACAAAAGACAAAATCAACAAGGAACAACAACACAATGTTGTTTACGAAATAAAATGCAAAGGAAAGGTTGGCGAAACCTGCAATAAAGTATATGTAGGCACGACAAAGCGAGCACTTGGCGTCAGAATCAACGAACACCAAACTGACGCAAAACACAAAAAGACAACAACAGCACTAGCCCAACACTTAACAATTAGCGGACACGCAGCAGACTTCGAAAACACCAAAATATTAGACGTAGAAAGGAGGGAGAGGACAAGATTAACATTAGAAGGTCTGCGAATACAACAAAGAATACAGGACGCGATGAACTTCAAAGAAGACGTGGATGACATAAATTGCGCATACCGGGCAGCAATTGGACACATTCGACGAGCAGATAAGCGATAAACAACATCATGATTCAATAATACAAGGTTAGATAATTATTGACAGCTGCGGTCTGACACTCCCTTACAAAAGGTTGCATTTACGAAGGACGGAGAAAGGGGAAGAATGCCATCTCTTGGTGCGAAAATGGTAGTAGAAAAGTACGAAAAGTAGGCAATTATTAGTGAAATTTCTTTTTGTAAATTCTAATGTATTTGCAGGAAATCTGGCATTTTAAACGAAATGTTGAACGTAATATTGATATATCTACGTGAATTACGTAATTTATGTGCTATTTAGCAGTATAAAAACTTCAAAATGACTCAAACTTAAAATAAGACTACTATGAGATTGATGTAAACATCTAATTTAAAAACAGTTTATGTTTTCATCAGTTAAATATGCTTCATATGCACATACAAGTAAACATATTTCACGAAAGCTTATACTTCTATTTCACACCAAAGCTACACTGTTTCTATGTAAATTTACAAAGAAGCAACACGGTGCCACTGCTAAGGGAGCGGTGCGAGAGAGACAACTGTCAGTTTATCGAACCTTGTATTATTGAATCATGAAACAACATTAAGCTGTGATATTGTTATGTAGATTTATTTATTAGTGATGTCCAAATAAAATATGTTAAAATAATAATTGTGCCAAATGTGATGCAAATGTAAAGATGTAAGTGTGATCATGAAGAATTTTATTGGTATATGTGTGTATGTTAACTAATTGTTTTGATATTTCAATATGTAACATTGTATCTAATGGTTGTGTTTTTTATGTTCTTAATGTTTTATTCTAAATAAATAAAAACAGACTCCCTGAAGAAGGCGAAAAATAACGCCGAAACGCGTAGGAGGAAAAAAGGAAACTTGTTTTTGCTTTTTTAAAATCACCGGCCGGAAGAGCTCCTAAAATAACCTAAAGATAAATTAAAAACTGGCCCGAAAAATAAATACATTGTTTTTTTTTTTTGTAATTCACAACTGCAATATCGTGAACTTAATTTTCCACAGACACGGCTTTGACTCATATAGTGCAAGAAATTTCCGCCAAAATACTTTTACTTAGAAAATTGAGCTAATTTCACCACTCACGACACCAGCATGCTGGTATAACTATAAAATTTCCAAATAGTTTTTGAAGTCGCACCAGCAGCTGGTACAATCACACCACAAGAACATACACGGCCAATCGATGATGGGCCCTTTAACAAATTAAGCATATTATTATTATTTTAGACTGTTGTTAAATTGTTAATAGATAAGTTAACAGCCCTAACACTACATACACAGTATTTATATATAAAAACGTAAGAAACATACAATGAATATACGTATATATATCAGTCTTTCTTAGTTTAAATGAAGCAAGAAACAACTTTGCCAAGTATGAATAAATTCTCCAAAGGGCTAAAAAAGTCTAGGGGCAATTTTAAATGTGTGTGGCCAAACAAAGTATGTGGTAGCTAAATCTAGCCACCAAAGGGCTAAACGGCAACACTGATCATGATCCGACAGCTTCAGAATCAAAACGGCAAAGGAACAACTATATTAGCCTGTTCCCGCACTTAAGGATTTAGTGAGAAGTTGTTCGCATGATAAATGTGTGAACCAGTGATGGAAAAGTAGGCCCAATAGTGCCAATTTGGGCACTTTCATTCTCAGAGGCACTTTTGGCAAAATTCATTCTGTTTTGGCACAATCATAAAATATTGAAATTTAGCATAAAATGTCGATACATGAGAAAAAATCAGAAACCACATTATAGATTAAAAAATTAAAATAAGGGCCGTGAGGAATATTTACAAACCGCTGAATTCTATTGTGAGTACGCAGTTTGAAAAGTTTGTTTTCGCAACAACAAGCTTTTAATTCGAAGTTTTTAGAAAGGTTCTAAGTTTGCAGTTTTATAGGTCATTAAATAAAACTGCAAGTTACTGCAATATCCCGATGATTTTTGATTTTTTCTTCGGACGGTGTCATACATTTTCATCAACTAAACAAATTTTCGAACACACTTTATATGGGAAAAAATACATAACATCGACAACTTGGATTCTCCCTAAAAATTCTGAAATACAAAGTTTGAAATGCCGGTTTGTGTACATATTTGTGTTTATTAAATTATGAGTTCGACTTTTATATAAAATCAATCAAAAAATAATCTTTGAGAAGAATAGGCGAAACTGGTCAAAATGCCTCATTGCCATTATTTCGCATATAGGTAGATACATATGTGTGTAAAAATGTCAGAATAGCTATATTTCGGTGTATTTCCCGTCCGCAAATGGAGTTCTGTGTAATTTTACTATGAATTTATATATATATCTCAGGAATCCTTCATAAAAACGATTTACTGTAATAATTTAGTTAATTAATAATTATTATATTATTTCAGTGTATTTTAAAAATACAATTTCTAAAAATATATTGCTTTTAATGCGCCTTAAAAGAAATTTAATTTTGTGTCACTTTCATCTTCTTTTCGGCACTATTTTTGAAGACCATTTTGAAAATTTGAAACTCCATCCCTGGTGTGATCGGAAACGACTTCGGACTATTTCGGACTAAATCCCATGAGCCATGTTGGTTCATGAACTAAATCCTGAAGTACGGGAACAGGCTAGTTGTCTGTAGCTAGCAGTGATGCCATATGCAGATTAAGGGTGATATGTTCAGTGAAAGAAAACATATTAATAGGTTCATTCCTTATCTTTTTGGACTAAAATCTGAAACAGGAAAAAGTAAAGGAAGGAAAAAACCAAATTTTTAGTCTAAAGAATGGCAACAATAAAACTATCGGCAAATAAGAATAGAAATGTATGTACAAAACACATTTACACAAGCACAAGCACAATAAACACTTACTATACTATACTTACCCTGGGATTCAGTAATTCAGTCTCATCCCAAGTCACTAAATTTGAGATTAGCAATTAGTGACTTGGGTTGATTTGGCTATTCAGTAGGAGAGAGTCACAAAAAGTTCACCAAAAATGTGTGGTGAAAACAAACACAGATAGTCAACTGATAGCGTTTACGTATGCCTTTTGCCGCGGCGCCCGAAGAGTCCCGATGGCTGAGTGGTCAAAGCATTAGGCTGCCGGTTGATAGGGTCCGGGTTCGAGTACTCCTCGGGCGTAGAGGATTTTTATTTTTTTCTTTTATTGAGTATTTTTTTCTTTTTTTTATTAGTTTTATTTTTGTAATAATTTTTAGATTTTAATGTAAAAAAAAAAAAAATTATTATTTTTCAATGGATTTGTATATTAAAGCATTTTGGTTTATTTTCTAACGAAATTCTTATTGAACAAATTTCTTCGCTTCATATTCGCGTTTTTTTAATAAAATGGAAAGCAATTAACTTTTTCCCCATATTTTTATTTTTGAGACGTGCTCTTAGCCAGCTGACAAATTAGTGATTTTTTTTTTTGAGACTAGAGACGTGAGACAGCGTTCTGAATACCAAATAATCTCAAAATCCAAGTTCACTACGAAAAGTCACTATTAGTGACTAGAGACCGCTTACTGAATGCCAGGGTTACTATGTCAATTATTTTTTGCCTCCTTCCAATTTCAATTCACTTTTTTTACTTTTTACATTTTTCTCACTTTTTGCGTATTCCTTAATTTCCGTTAATTTAAATTCAGTTGAGTTTGACACTTCAAAATTTTGCCAGCAAAAATATTTATGACTAAATATGTCACTCTCACTGAGTGTTGCTCTCTCATTTTTGCTGTCATTTTCGAGTTAAGGAACGCTTTTTGGACTAAATCTGACTACTTCCGACTTTTTCTGACTATTTCTGAGAGATAGGGAAAGCAACTAATATGTTGCCTCAAAATCATAAAAGTCTTAAGATGGAGAGAGTTACCCTTAACTTGTTTGTGAATTAAAATGTATCACAAATTGTACTAAGCTAAAAATAAAAGTATATGTTAAAAATTCGATGAAAAACGAATCATTTTGATCCATTTGGATCAAAACGGCAACACTGACGGCTTGTTCGATATAAATTAACTATGAACCAATTACAACAGATCTGACGGGTTGAGAAGCAGCCATTTGTAATAGCATTTGAGTGTGACATTCGTAATTTTGAAGTTTGCTATTTCTGTTTTGCACAGCAAATGGTGGTCTTTTTCTCGTAGACCCGTAGGTTTCGGTGGACCCCCTGCTGATACATTTCTAAATATTCACAAAGCTCGTAAAAAAATTAAATGTGAAAATTAGATCTAACAATGGAAATTTGCATCGCGGGTGAATTCAAAAACCAAACTCAGAGTGGCCAAAATAAAAGTAAAATATTTTCGTGTGTTCTATTTATAAAAATAATGTGATTACACACTGGTAGGTTTTAAAAAATAGAGCTCGTAAGTGCATCAAAATACTCTCTCGCTCGGAAGAGTTACTGCCGTCCCTAAATTGGAGCGCTAAGCGTTGCGTTATCCATTGTCAACGAGTGTCATCGCGCGCTATACCCAAATCAACGCGTCGTCAATTTTGACGTTTTCTCAGGTCCTCTCGTTTTTATTCTCGTTTCCTTTTTCACTTCTTTGTCCGTTCTCTTTCTATTCGTCTTCTGCATCCAACTTCAGCACGTAACGCCCTGTCAAAAATGAAAATTCCATTTGCTCGGCGTTAGCGCCGCATTATTGTGGGATGCTTCATACAAATTGTATGGGCATGAGGATTTTTGACAGTTGCTTGGCGCTTGACGCGCCAATTTAGGGATGGCAGTTATATTCTTTAAGAGCACTGCGAACGCTAGCGTTATTTACATTATCTTCACCATAAACTCATCAAATGTTCGGCTCACTCATGACTTTGCACGTGGAGTATATGTAAAATAGTTTATTTGTGGTAATGGCATAATTTTTATTCCGAGCTTTAAAGTGAGGCGAAAAATATTTATCACATTTTTAAAACACAAAATTTAAAACATTAAAACGGCTAAGCTTTTTACGCCAAACTTTTCAGAAACTGACAATAGAGAAAAAAACGAGTTAAAAGAAATTGATAACAAATAACCAAACAAGCAAGAACCACAAAAAGTGTTCCACCGTCTCATCTTCTACAAGGCAGGATGGGCAAATGGAAATGTCATCTACGCCTATCACAGTCAGGTGTTTGTGCCACGTGAAGCAGTCTAGCAAGTTGTCTGCAGTGTCGTCTGCAAAAAATTAGACAGACCTTGTGAGATTGAAGGCAACATGAGTTTTGCCCACCTGCATCCTCTCGATACCTCTCAGTAATTTCTGAGCGAAGTATTCACCCAGTTTCTGATGGTGGCTTCGATTGCCGAAGGTAGGAGTACTAAAACTAATTGCTGACCCAGGAATGCCTGGTCTAAGCAAACTCTGGCCAAATGATCAGATGTCTCATAACCAGGTACACCAGAGTGACCTGGCACCTCGTTTATTTCACCATCATATTTTAGTCGAGACTTGCATTTCCGAACTAGTTTGGAAGTACTTAAATAGAGGGCTGGTCAATGCCTTAAGTGCAGCTTGGTTGTCACTGCAGTCACGTAAACTCCTTCCCCTCCACCTGTGTTCCACCACGTAGTCCATGGCTTTGAGTATTGCAATTACCTCAGTCTGGAAGACCGAAGCATATTCCTCTACAGAAAAGTGAAGCTTATCTCTATTGACCTCGAAAAATACCCCAGATCATGAGCCAGAGTCAGTTTTGGAGCCATTAGTGAAGATTCGACAATGTGTGTCTGGTCTCAGCGATGTAATCAAACCAGCATGCAGTCTCAGGGAACTCAACATTATAGAATCTCTTCAACAAAGGTAATGGTGGCGTACTATCCTGTAGCGTTGAAAAGACACAAGTGCTTAAATCTCTGTCGCCAGCAATTTTCGCCGCGCCCTACTCATTGTCATACCAGCGTCCGGTTCTTTTTAGTCTGCAGGTGGC